GTATAATATTGAATTCTCTTTGACTCTAAATCTGACCTGTTTTGAATGACTCAAATGAGAAGTGACCTTTTTTATTTATAGAGTCTTTATGAGTCTTACATGAACCTTCTTCTCATGGACTTAATGGATTTGAGCTCAATCTTCACATGAGTTTGATTCAATTTTAGCTGATGTAATGAGACGATTATAAGGAAGACGCATGACATAAGGATACATAAATTTGTGATGGATCCTAAATATTATTTTTAATTTGTGACATTTATTCATTGGACAAAATGTATCACCCAACACAAATTATATAAATTCAAATTATACATTTTTGAAAAATTGATAACATATAAATTACGTGAGGGCTAGTAAAGATGTTGGAACAATATTGCTGTCTAGATATTTCAAAACATTTTCATAAAGACTCCTGTAAGAAAAGAAAAAAAAACATGACCATCAAAAATATCAGATATCTATAATTTTTTATATCTATAATCTAATATGGTAGGCATCTTCTAAATTTTTAAAAAACAAATGGGTCATTAAAGATTTTCAAAAAACATTTTTTAAAACTATGTTTATTTTTTATTTTTTATTTTTTACTTTTTTTCGAATTTTGTCGCCATGGATGGTGGAGAGTTGATCCATATTTATATATCGTGAAAGATAAGTATATGATGCTTTCATTACACTTTTCTCAACTTCCATGACATTTGAACCAATATTTCATTTCAAAATTATATTTTGTCCATTTCAATATTTTTGTTTTTTAATATATAATTAAAATTTCACTGGTTTATAGTTCCAAAAGATGCCTTCTTAAACTTATTATTATTATTATTTACTTATGTACCAATTGAAGTCCTACTTAATTTAATTATTAGAAAGAGGGAGAGAAAATTGATCTACTTTTCATTTTTTATTTTTCTTTTTAAATATATTTAGACTATCTCTTAGACTCTCTTTGATGAAAAGAGGAATCTACGAAACTCATGTTTTCTCTTCACAAGAGTAGGAATGCAGGAGACAATTGTCACAACACACACCAAATTGGAAGAAAAAGAAATTGACTTGGTTGAAATGTTCTTTCCTAAACTATAGTATATATTTGAATCTAGCATGAAAATTTGACACATAATTCATTACGAATGATTTCAAATATTTATTTGTAGATATTTAAGAGGAAATACTTATTAAAGCGGTAATTTAGGTCATTACTTGTTACTCTATATCATGCCAAAGAATCTTCTCAATTAATTAAATGATTAATCAGCTTGCAACTCGGTTCTGGTGGGGTGTGGGTGAGGAAGATAGGAAAATCCATTGGATGGGTTGGAAGACAATTTACACTCCGAAATGATCCAACATTTTGGAGGAATGAGGTTCAGAGATTTACTTGTCAGGCTTTACTTGCGAAGCAGGGAGGGACGATCCTAAATGATCCAACATCAATCTTGGCCCAAGTTCTCAAGGGAAGGTATTTTAAAAAAGTGACTTCATGTCCTTAAAGATCGGGTGAAATCCTTCTTTTATTTTGAGAATCGTAGCTATACCAATTGGTTGGAGTGGAAGAGCAGACAGACTGATCTGGCATCATAAGAAAACTGTAGTTTATACAGTGAAAAGTGGATAGAGGGTAGCGTAGATGAAGCAACCAAATCTTTACTGTCTCGTCTTCTTCTACGGAATCTTTGAAACAATAGTGGATTGAGCTCTGGAAGATGGATGTTCCTAGCAATACTTAGGGTATTCTTTTGGTATCTGTGTCAAGATAAGCTCCTTAACGGGACAAACTTGCTTAAAAAAGGTGTAGATGTCCTAACTATTGCTTTCAGTGCAAAAGAAAGGGGAAAGACAATTTTCATGTATTTTGGAGATTCATGACTTCTACAGAAAAATTGGAAAATTCTAAATGTGCTGCTCTCTTAATGATAAACTGAGCCACAACATCATGCTTTTACTTCGGGATTGGCAAGAAAAATTAAATTCAGCTGACTTTGAGGAGATGGTTGTGTTTCTATAGGAAATCTATAATAAGAGAAATGCAAAAGCTTTTAACCAGAGATGACAAGTGGCTACATCTAATTTTGCAATATGGGCAAATAATTATACCTCTACATTTAGATCAACTAAAGCAAAATCTATAGTACAAAATCTTAAAAGAAATCAAGCAATTTGACGCCCTCTTAAGGGAGGGGTATACAAAATAAAGACAGATGCAGCTTATTCTCCTATCTACTTTAATGCAGGTCTAGGGATTATCATCTGAAATCACAGAGGGCAAATTGTAGCTGCTGCGACTAAATACTTGGAATATGCCTTGACAATTGATGAAGCTGAAGCGATAGTAGCGAGGAAGGAGTTGAAGCTAGTCATTGATGCTGGAATCTTCCCTTTCTAACTGGAAATTGACTCGCTCCGAATCTACAACCTATTCAACCAAGAAGTAGAAGATCTCTTAGAAATAGGGATGATCGTTTCAAATGTAAATGCTTCCTTACTTGATTGAGCTCAATTTACAGTTAAGTTCACAAATAGAGAAGTAAATGGAGTCACTCGTTGTATAGCAAGGAGAGCGATTCTACAACAAGATCATAATATTTGGCTCAAGAACTAGCTTTTAGAGATGACAAACTTTCTTGCCCTTGAATGTCTTGATATCTTATCCTAATTTCAATTACTTTGTTTTGCTAAAAAACAACATTTAACAAAAATAAGATGTATTATTTATGTAGATGGTAAATTTGGCCTAGAAAAATAGCCAAATTTGCACCACTTTTCTTGAATAAAGGAATTCGACGGAACTTGAAAAAATAGAGAGACAATGCACCAGTGTGGTTCTAGTGATACACTATGATGCTTTAAGGGAAAATTCAACACTTAATCTCGCTTTCGCTCAAGAAATTCAAAGGATAAAACATAATACTACGCAAAGAGCATTAATGTCCATGGATCAAGAGTCAGAACCAAAGAACTACAAGGTGGTATTGACCATACCCCATTGGAAGCAAGCTATGGAGGAAGAAATGATGGCCCTCTATCAAAACAATACTTGGGAGTTAGTGGAGAGACCTGAACATACCAGTGATAGGGTCAAAATGAATACTAAAAACTAAATACAAAGAAGATGAATCAATTGAATGACACAAAGCTAGACTCGTAGCTCAAGGATACACACAAGTACAAGGAATAAATTATGAATAAAACTATAGCCCAGTGGTAAAATCTAGTACTATTAGACTAATTTTATCTCTTGCAGTGAGCGCAGGATGGAAGCTAACGCAACTAGATATCAAGAATGTCTTCTTACATGGTTTACTCAAGGAACAAGTATATATGAAACAACCTCCAGGTTTCACCAACAACGAGCTTCCTGACTGTTGGGTGTATTGCCCTAAACTCGTAGCTCGTGATTATGTAAAAACAGATTTATATTCAATAAAGTTATGTTTTCATATTCAATCAAATTGTTGTTCAATTTATTGTCCAAATCTAATAAACTAAACATGCAAGGTTATTTTCATGTAACTGGGACAATATATATACTGGGTATATATTTGATATACCATATATACTGAGTATATATTTGATATACCCTTGATGTATAAGTGGATAATATCTCGGAAATAACCTAAAGGGTTTATAGTATATGAATAAGGTTGGGTACCTTATCTTGGCAACACTATAGATACGACCCACTTTGTAAATGTTACAAACGACCCGATCCAAGTCGTTCGTGTGGAGACATGCGAGTGGTGTATCTTATATAATGAGTTTATATAAGACTGGACCGAGAAATAGCTAATCTTTAGATGTAACGTCGTTGACTAATAGATTGTTATTTCATAGGAGATGACCATACAACTCATTCTCAATCCTGAGTGAGTTATGGACTCCCGCCCGTGAGGGCTCGTCCTTTGATATGTATGGGTGAGAGTGGCCGAGTAACTGACTCAATAATCCTACCTTTTTGGGGACGAGACTGAGTGGGAAGTTGGAAACATAACTACACAAGATTGAATTTACTCATTCCCGACATTAGGAAAGTAGATGAGTGTTCCCTTACATGCTGACTCCGGGACTTGAACAAGTGGCCTCACCCTCTCACTGGCCCGAGAGGGACTTCCGGTTATTGGTCATTCCATAACTGGGTTGTTCATTAGAGGAGTAGTGATATTTAAGGAGCAAGATGTAACTGAGGGGTAAAACGATAATTTGACCCAGCTTGAGTTACGAGCACTCGTGAAAGATTGATTTGCCGTTAATGGTCGTACATCCATGGATACGAAAATATTCTACAGTGAAAAAAACGAGTCTTTAGTGGAGTGGCCCGCAGTTAACGACTGTAGATTAACTCAGTTAATGAGTTTGATTGATTAATTTTGTATCGTTGGAGCTTTTGATTTGCAGGTCCATTAGATCCCCCTTGCTAGCTCGTAAATGAAAGGATCAGATCCCACAGCGGAAGCGTTCGAACACGTGTGCTTCGATCTTGTTTTGGAAGTACGACAAAGAAAAAACATAAGTATAATTAAAAGGAAGTTAGTGAAACATACCTTTGAAGACACCTCTTCAATGTAGACACCAATGCCACCAAAAAGTCTTCATCGCTATCCTCTGGATGTTAAGAATTCAGTTTATGGGAACAATCTTATAATTGAGAGGAAAATCGAGAGATCAAGAGAAAGATTGGAGTTTCGAAAACTCAATCAACCGAGGACTGAGGGACCGAAAGAAAAGGGGAGAACATGTGAGGTATCTCCTCACAAGATTTTGATTGAAATAGAACTTCAAGCCCGAAGGCGATACCAGAAAAAGCACACAACAAAACACTAAAATCAACTCACAAATTCGAGAGGGTGGGGAACTCTTCAAAAGCGACAATGTAGCACCCAAAACACTGAAATCTCGAATATCCCCCCTAATGACATTCACTGCTCCTAAAAAGGACAACACGTCCCTCTACCCCTATTCTCTCTCATGGCCGTTGGCCTACATATTCACTCAATTACCATTTTGCCTTTCCCTCTATCCTTCCTACTATAGGTCTTCAGGATTGGGGGTCTAACATTACCCCTCACTCCCCCCCTCCCAACAACCACCTTGTCCTTAAGGTGGAACATAGGGAACTGCTTGTAGATCTCTCTAACTGACTCCCATGTAGCGTCCTCTTCAGGTAAGCCTTTCCAACTAACCAGTGCTTCGTAGTCGCCGGTGGTTGGGTTGGTTTGATAAGCAAAGACTGACTCCGGTTCGATCATCCACTCTCATTCGTCAGATAGTTGAGGAGGGATGTGTCGTGACGTCGAGGCTTCGCCCACCACTTTCTTCAGTTGCGACACATGGAAAACCAGATGGATATTGGTTTCCACTAGTAGATCGAGACGATAGGCCACCTTCCCAATGCGCTACAATATTTCATAAGGCCCGAAGAACTTGGAACTCAGCTTCTCGTTCCTTCTCTTTGCTAAAGGACCATTGCCTGTATGGTCGTATTCTGAGATACACTTTGTCCCCTACTTCAAATTCTACATCCCTGCGATGCTTATCAGCCTGTTTTTTCATTCTATCTTGTGCCTGCCGGGAGTGATCCCTAAGCCTCTTGAGTGTTGGGTGTGTTGCCCTAAACTCGTAGTTTGTATTTTGTAAAAACATATGTCTATTTAATAAAGTTTTATTCAATAAATTTGTTGTTGAATCATAGCTTTGCATTTTCCAAAATCCAATAAACTAAACATCCAAGGTTATTT